TATATATATATATATATAATTATAATATCCGATATTAATATACACATACATATATTTTTTCACGAGAATTTTAAAATACAATATATATATATATATTGTATTTTAAAAACATGTTCAATTTAATTTCATGATTGGAATAGATTAATTTTATAAAAGAAATTATTCCCAAAATAATTTTTGCTCTTTAAAAAGTATACAAAATAAATATTTGATGATATTAAGATACAATTATATAAAATATTACTCTCTATTATCTTATTATTTTATTATTTAGTTTCTATATGAATAAATAGAATAAAGCTTTGTGCATGCAAGTGCATTTACATAAAAATCACACAATCCCAGCAAGCTGATTTTTTGTCGTTATTTGTCGTTTTAACGTAAAAAATAATGTCTATTTGTTACCTAACATAAAAGCATATTTTCAACATTTTTTGAACGTAATTCAATACTTATGATCATAATTTTTTAAAATTATCGTTACTTGCACATTTATATTATTACTTATTTATCGTTATTTACCTTCATATATATTATTAAAATATATGAATTTTAATAGTATCAATGTAATTCTTCTATTTGTTACACACAAGCGTATACATTTGTAAACATTCTAATAACGAGAATTGTAGGTCTTCGTACAACAACACTGGTTCCTGGTAAACGTGTAATATGTATGCTGTACACGTCATAAGGTGCATGAAGTATCAGCTAAAGAAATACCACGCTATGCACTTTTAAATGTTCACTTATAAGATCAATTAAGTTTTTTCGAATAATTAAATTAGTGCGAAAGAAACTCAAGGAGAAATTAAAAGATCGATTAAAAAAGATCTTTGTCCGAAAATAATATTTCGGAAAATATTTAAAAAATTTCTGTGTGTTAATAAAAGTAACAAGTCATCTTAATGTTAAAAGCAATGCTTTTTTTTAAACAGAATCTTTTAGTTTAACTTCGTTTTTATAATTTCTTATTATAACAACTTTTTTTTACTATTAGTTAAAGAAAATTACATACTACGATGCATAAATTTTTCACACAAAAAATGATTAATTTTTGAAATATCAAAAATTTAAATATCAATTTTATTGATATTATGTAAATTTTTTCCTGTATATATTTCAACTACACGAGAAACTTGAATTATGAAGTATCGATCCACGCCATGAATGCATGTCAATCGACAGCATAGTAAATATATATATATATTAATAAAATTTAGAGTAAAAATGCGTTATTTGCTTTGCTCATTTATGATATTTTTCTAAAACTCATATAATTGTTATAACTACATTATTTAAAATATCTAAATATTTATGCGTAAGGTAAACTTGCATGGATTATCGAATTTTTTTTTTTTTTCTAAAGGGAATATTTTTTTAAATTTATGGATAGATTCCATTCGGCTTGAGTATTTTATGAGAGTTAAACGATAAATAAAACAAAGTATACTTTAAAATCACAAATGTGAATTTACAATTGAATAACGAAGGTCTTATCGATCTAAGCTGGATCTTATTAGTACTTAAATAATATTTCCGATATGAATTTATACATGCATATTCAGTTTTGCAAATACTGAGATCGATAAAGTTCGTTACTCAGTTATATATTGAATGACAAATTTGTGATCTCTTATGTCTAACATTAATTATAAGATCACGGTACAATCTTTTCGATTGAATCGGTGCAATCGTGTCATATGCGCAGTTTGATATTCGATTAAGCTGCTATGGTTACAGTGTGTCAACCTGTAAAAAATCGATTTTTAACATATCATGCAGATATAGAGTGTATAATATCGTATCGCACGAGAGACGACACATCGCTCATGTGCGTCTGTAAGTCAGGAAGTAGGCCGGCTATAGGCACGCCAACATAGATGCTCACTTTTAGGATACGACTGAATTATCCATGGGGGACACATTGGGTCAAGGTGGCATTTTTCTACCAGACCTTGTTGACAGATAAAGACACTGCTTTAGTCGACGATGTCTGGGCCACCGATAATCATCCCTTGTTAAGCATAGCTTATTCCTTTGCTCAATCTCGTTAAGGCTTGTTAAGCTCGCTCGACAGATTTTACCTTTAATTGTGTGTTTCTTTAATCAGAAACTTTGTACCATTTGCGATGGGTATCTTTTACAGTCAGACAATATATATAAATAATTAAATCATGTGAAAATGATATCATTATTTATATATTTATAGTTCCATAAGAAAAGAGTTCATTGTTTTAATTTGTGATCAACGTAAGAATTAAAATAAAGAGATAAAAATAAACAACAAATAGATAGAAATACAACGGAATCGACCTCAATCAAAGTTTCCTATAAATTATTTTTGAATTATCTATTCTCCAGAATAGCTAATATTTGTACAATCTGTAGAAATCTTTAATCTTGAACTTAATATTATCAGTACAGTAAAAATTGTTGTAAAACTAATCATAAGAGATTCAATTACATTGAGTGAATGTTTGATGCAAGAAAACAGACGATTAATAAAATCGGTTAATGTGAATTAACTAAACAACTTTGTGTGTTATGTTATTATAAACATTTTTTTGTGAAAGTGTATTTATCTTATATTCACTTATAATAGTTAACGCAGAAACGAAATCTTTTAAGAATGGCAAAAAAGGTAATCAATATAACAAAACATGAGCACCAATATTTAACAACATTTTAGATTTAAAAATGTATTTGATTTTTTAATAATTTTTAAAAGTTTTTTGTTTAATATATACCCACTTTTATAAATGTGTTTATACACCGAAAAGTATATAACTAAATAACCAAAATTAAACTATCGATTCATTATTTGATAATTATTAGTACAAAAAATTATTAAATTGCTTGTACAATATATTTAATACGTAGTACTATGTATACTGTTTTGATTCTGTACATAAATGCGTTTTAAATCCTAAAAAAGAATTCGGCGAGTTGTGGAAAAAATATATAAATCCATACTATATATAAATAATTAAAGCATTTCAGATCCGCTTCGATAAAAAATAGAAATTCTTCATACTTAATTGGAATTAGTAGATTTATGAAATATATAGGGATATTGTACAAATGATTACCTATTTATTCACAGCGGGAATGCATATCCATTCATATAGGACAAGCGGGTGTGCAGATGGGAAACGCTTGTTGGGAGCTTTATTGTCTGGAGCATGGTATCCATCCAGACGGACAAATGCCCAGCGATGTTAGTGTGGGCTCCGGAGATGATTCCTTTAACGCGTTCTTTTCCGAGACGGGCTCGGGGAAGCATGTCCCACGAGCGGTTTTGGTCGATCTCGAGCCAACGGTGGTAGGCAAGTATCCTAGAGGAATCAATAATCATTTATTTCCGAGCATTATAATTAAAATATGTAAAAATTAATTTATTAATGAATTTATTGATTTTATTAATAATTTGATTGTTGAGTTGTAAGATATCAATTTTTATAATTTTGTGAGTCTTTGGAGAGAAAGATTAATTTTTAAGATTTTGTTCTCGATTATTTAATCATAGTATAAATTTTGTTTTAAATATTAATGATTAATAGAGTTAAGATGTAGATATAATAACGAATTATATATTTTTATTACTTTAGACGAAGTGCGTACGGGTACTTACAGACAATTATTTCATCCGGAACAAATGATTACCGGGAAGGAAGATGCGGCTAATAATTATGCCAGGGGTCATTATACAATAGGTATTTAAATTTTGCGTCACAATTGTATATCTGTAAAAAGATTGGAACTTAATTATAATGTATAAGCGATTGGCTGAAGAAAATATCTAAACTAAGGAAAGAGAGATAGTACCTTCCAATTGATAAAAAAAATTGCGCTTTTATACCTATATTAAATTTGTTTTTTAATATATGTATAATATGTATATTAAGTGATAGTCATGTATTATTAATCGACCTTGTAATTTTTCAGGAAAAGAGATCATCGATCTCACTTTAGACAGAATACGCAGACTAACAGAGCAGTGCAAAGGTTTGCAAGGCTTCTTAATCTTCCATTCTTTTGGCGGTGGCACAGGGTCTGGATTCTCGAGTCTGCTTATGGAACAACTGTCTGCCGATTACCCGAAGAAAAGTAAACTGACCTTTAGTATTTATCCAGCTCCACAGGTAATATTACTCTCTCTCTCTCTCTCTATCTCTTTAAAATACTTCGATTTTTGCTTAAAAACTCTGGTTTTTTTTTAAATTCGAAAATGATATAATTTAATTTAAATTTTAATAATATTAATGTAAAAAATCTGTATATATGTGTGCATTTCTATTGTTTCCTTGATATTATTTACAATTAGTGAATATAATAGTGAAATAATCCACTTTTCAAACAAACTACGAAACTATTGATTTGTTTAACTATCTAATTGTTTTCTTCATAACGAAAGCGTTTACATTTTTCATAGGTATCGACT